TTCATTGCATTTCACGCCTGCGCTCGCACAGCCATTGAGAAGCAAACATCTCAGACGGCCTCCTCATGACCGAGTGCCTCCGGGCCGCCGCCATTTCGCAAGCTGGCGCACCGGCTTCAGTAAGCAAGAGAAGAGTTCCAGACCTACACACGAGCGCAATTAAAACACGCACGCACAAAACTAACCACAATAATAGACAACGATACCTCACGACCAGCGGAGCAAACACTATCTTATGACGCGGCACGTCCGCGAGGAGGATCCGCCTGGTGGGGGCCTTTGCCCCTTCTCCCCGCACAAGGAAAGAGCAAAGCAAGGAGATCGTAGTTTGGCTCAGCGGGCGCACCCTCCCACCTCGGAGGAGACCCACCAAACACACACGCACACCAGTAAACCAATTGGTGCACAAAGCAATCTACAAAAACTGAGGCCTCGCCATAAGTCCACAACGTGGCAGCCGTTAGGACCCCGCAACCGCCGCTCCCCCCTCGCAAGAGAGGCCTCCCACCAGAACTCAAGTCATGACCACGCCACTCGCCATCCTCTTGGCTGCAATGCAATGCCACGTCCAATTGCTGCATCAAGACGCGTTGCCCCTCCTTTAGTGGTGTCACCCTGCAAGGCGGCAGTGGCTGTGCAGACACCAATGCGTTGAGCTAAATGTTCAGGGCATGTCGACAAGGCAGAAGCAGCCGCCCGTGCTTCTGCCTGTGTGAGAGAAGGGCTGTGAGAGCGCTAACGATGTCCCCTGCCACCTCGACACCCTTCGCAGCTGGAAGAACCAAAGCCTCTCTCTGCCGTGCAATGCCACGCCCATGACAAGTGAGACGTTGGATTTCCGTGACACGCGCATGGTGTGCGTCTAGGCGCCCAAGCACGCAAATACAACGGCGCTGCCCACCGCGGCGGGACGACTTCCGCAACACTTGCAACGGCTCTACGCACAAGCTGCGGAATCCCTGGACTAGCCTTACAAGCCATGTTCCAACGTGCGAGCCCAGCGACGGCGTTGTCTGCTGTAGGGGGACAAAAGAATCACCGTGTCTCCGCGGGCAGGCGCACCCCCACCCCAAACAGAGAACAGCAAGCACGCAAATGCAATCAGAAGGTTGGCTGCGCCAACACGACCGGTAAATGGGCGGAAAAGGCCCTAACACATCGTGTACGCCTCATGTGGGTCCTCATTCCTATCTCGAGGCCGCGCCATCCATCCTTGGGGAGCTATTGTCGGCCTTTCCTCCACGAGGGGTAATGGACAGGATCCAGCCTCCTCCGGCCTGCGTCGAGGCTGGCAAAAGTGCACCTGCTGCTCTCAATAGTTCTGCGTCAGCAACCGAAAGGACTCAAAAGCACTCCGCATGTGCCCACCAAGAACCCTGAGCAAATAGTAAAGGGAATGCGCAAGAGTTTCACGAAAATTACTTAATAAGTTCACCTGACCACCAACTCCCTTTGAGGTCTGCTCACAGATCCCCACCAATGCTAACAATCAGAAGGGCAATGTGTATACTCCCACAGGCACGCATTTTATTTTATTTCGCATTTTATTTTCTTGTGCTTCCCATCTCACACATCTTGTCTTTACTATTATTCACACACGTGAATATTCATAGGTCCCTGCCCTTTTTTAGATGTTGTTGATTATTAATTTTTGGTTTCCTTCTGCTTCTGTCCCCTCCTGACACACACGCCCGCACATAAAAGCTTGTGGCACACCCCTAATACAAAGGGTCTGACGAAAGACACCCACACAACAAATCCAAGCAAAAAAAAAAAAGGTGGGGTGAAGCCTGTACATGTATTCATAGCAAAAGTAATAGAAAAAAAATAAAAATGGATGCTTTCGGAGAACCCCATCCCCTGTTGTGCTAAACGCAATTACGAGGAACACGGTGGTGAAGAATACAATAGAACAAAATTAGCTTCTTCTTTTGTCTCATTTTTCATTACCTCCAATAAGAACCATAAATGACTTATCTCCAGCTAATGCCGTGTCCAAAGCGACGCCTCAGCATTGCCCCTCATCGTTAAATTCTAAACAAACCGGCGAGCTGCAGGTAGCTGTTGGCCTCTCCTTCACATGTGAAGCGGAGCGAGTTAAGCTGGATGAGTTGTGAAGCTTACTTTTTAAGAAAGAGATACACGCATCAACAAGGCAAAAAAGTGCATTTTTTTTTGTTTTGCGTGGGGATGGGGGGAAGAAGTTTTAATGGTTTTTTTTCTCACCAATCGTCTGTAAGCCGTAACTGTCCCTCTCGCACGCTTAAAAAATAAAATAAAAATAAAATAAATAAATAAAACATACTTTGAGGTTCATTGTGCTTATCCCCCATTTGCGCCGTCTTTTTTCTTCATTTCATTAATGCGACGAAAACGCTTCTTCACAAAGTGTGTTATAACGCGCTTGTACTTAAGTTTGCCGCGAACCAACTTCCAGTAGCGGTGGTGCAGCCAGTAGCTTGTGCCGACCGATGAAATGGCGAGAATAAGGTACACAATCAGCGTGATCTGCAGACACTTGCGCCCGGTGCAGCGGCCGTGTAGTTTGATAGGAGCATTGGGAGGAAGAACAATTTTGTGTTCATCGTACACGTGGAAAAAGAGCACGCGGTAGAGCAGCACAATGCCGAGGGAGGCACCAAACCAGCAAAACCCATAGTGCATTCCGATGTCGTGTCTGAAGATAATACCAATGATATATATAGTGAGTGAGGTGCTAAAACCGTAGGCGCATCCAGCAATCATATACACTACAGTAAGTGAGTAGTTCCCAGGGAATGAAAGGTAGAAGATGAGAGCCAGTGCCAGTACTGCGCTTGGAAACGGCAATGCAACGGTGGCGGGAAGCAGGACACCTGTCTTTTTACTAAAGTAAACCAGTAAAATTTCAAATGTTCCGATGGACACTCGACCAAACGCGGTTGAGATACCCGACATGGTAGCAAAGAGAACATAGGTCTCGTAATCCAGACCACGGAAAACGGTGGCAACCATGGCCTGGATGTTCCAGTTCGCCGTCATTGCCATGCCCACACCCCACACGACAAATACGGTGTACCACAAGAGCCACAAATCCACGTAGGTCAAACTCTGCAAAAATGTTGTTTCATAAATGGGGGTGACAAACACTTCACCGCACACGGTGATGGTTTCAACGTATGGTCGGTTGTATGTCGAAACTTGACGCGTAAGAACATCCATTCCAGCAGTGTCTGGCTCGTCCTCCTCACCCCCTGAAGGAATATTGGAAGGCCTCATGTTGGTGGCAATAGAAGAATTATTCAACCAGCGCTGAGTGAGTTGAGGCCCATTTTCAGATGCATTTTCCATTATAATTAAATTCTCAGCCTCAATGAGGTTGGCCTCAACCTCCACAGTAAGGTACTCGGAATTTGCTCCGTCGTTTTTATCGTCAGTGTTCTTTTTCTCACCCTCATACTCCGAGGATTCGCCATACGGCACCGCAGGGCCACTTGCACGGCGTAACGGTGGGTCCAGAGCATCAAGGGAGGGGTCGTTTACCTCAACTGCCTCGCTCGCCCCATGCCCCCCTTCCTCCTGCTGCTGCGTATGCTCCTCTTCCGCGGCTTCTTCGCATCCATCATCCGCTCCTTTGTTCGTGCGTTTCGAAAAAAATAATCGCCTTTCCTCCAACTCACGCGCCTTTTCGTTTGCCCTTTGAAGAACGGTTTCATCCTGTAGGGTATCGCCGTCAATCGAGTGTAGTGGCACGACAAGGAAAAGAATACATAAAACAATAAGAATGGCACCAATAGCTAGGCCCCTGTACTGTTCCACTGTCATTTGTTTGCGGTAATACGCTGCACAAATGGCTTGTATCGACAGATACACATTCATAACCAATAACACAACAGACAGTACGGCGAAACGGCGCTTTGGCATAAGCTGTGACATGTAACGATTCCGAACAAGGTATCGCTTCAGACGGTCCCTTAGTGTGATGCGTGAACTTTCCCACCGGTTAATCCTATACGGGGCATCACTTATGCAGACGGTTCCAATCACCCCAAACACAAGAACCAGCACCGTGAGAAAGTACATCAAGTTGTCAAAATGGTTGTTGAAGAACCCACGGAAGATACACGAAATCAAGGAGGAGCCCAGTGCAGAAAAGGTTTTCAGCAGTCCAGCCGGCTGAGCTCGGTCACGAGGGGTGTATGTCAAAACAGCGGGCAAGGCCGCCACGTCAAAGGCGTAGCAGCCCCAGTTCATCAATGCAAAAAAAATGCAAAAGCGTGTCTCCGAAGCTTTAATGTGTTCAGCAAATGTCAGTCCAAAAAGAAGATGCCCCAGCGCCGTTATTACGGTTGCTACCCCGACAACAATCCTTGGTCCAAAGAAATCGTACATGACTCCAAAGGGAAAGACAAACAGGCCAAAGGCTGTACCTGCCGCATAAATGTTCACCATAGTGCGCACATCATAACCGTACTTATTCTCCATGTAAATGGCAAAAAGTGCATGAAGCCCCTGTGTAGAGGAGTTAATAAAAAGAAGCATTCCAATAAAAACCATTCGAAACCGCATGAAGTCACTGATTTTATGCTGGTCAATAAGAATAATGGGAGCCTCGCTGTTCAAAAGGTCATCGATGTTTTCCGATTGTTTCCCAGTGGCGGATCGATTTTGCTGACGTTCTTGTGATGGACGCTCCAACGGTAAGCCAGATTCGCGCGGCGTGGCGAAAACGACTCGCGAGTGAAGCGTCTGAAGAGGAGGCAAGTCTGACATCCCTTGCTTCTTCTTATGATACTCCAAACTTATAACTATGCAAACCTTCCTTTTACGCCCAATCTTGTATTCTTCCTTATATGCGGTTCACAACTTTTATTTTGTTACCCTAAAGATATGCAGATATATTATATATACATATATATCTCACAGTTGTTGCTTTGCTTGTTTGCTGTGATTCCACCTTAACCTTTGCTTTTCCTTCTTTCACTGTTCGCTAGCTCTCCCCCACATACGACGTATGACCGGCCCAAAGACAGAGGGCAAAAAAGAAACGCGCAGTCATGGCCACTATCACCGTCGCCGCGTAAATCACGTAAAATCTGTCTCCCTCCTCCTCCCGTTGCTCCCACACAAACACACACTGCCAGGCGTTGTTACCCGCCTAATTTATTCCGAGGTTTATTACTCATTGACTCCGTTGCGGGGTGCAAGCCACACTGACAGGCGTTAGAGACGCACCCGGACACAAATATTATCTTTTCCTCACCATCCTCCCGCTGCTCACCCTCTCCCTCCCTCCCTCCCTCCCTCCCGCGGAAGTCCAAGCTGAAGGAAAAAACACGGCGGTATGCCCACTCAGGGAGACGTCACCACACCGTTCCTCACACGCAGCTTCCCATTCGCAATGGCTGTCTCAATAGCGTGCTGCACATGTTTTGCGATGCGGCTGTTGTACCGCTCCACCATCTTCTTTGCGAGCCCTCGCACGCTGAGCGGTGTTGCACCAACATCCTCCATAATCCAGCGGGTGACCTCCGCCACCTCCTCATCCGTGCCCAGCACGAAACTCGGCACAATGCAGTCCGCCGCCGTCACCGCCCTCGGCAGTTTGAGTGACTCTTGTTTTGGTCGCTTTGTGGTACAATGCACCTCAGCCTCATTTCTGGGTGGTGTGGTGGCTTTCGCCCGTTTGTGCAGAGAGCCGTTGCGTGCCTGACCCTCCTTCGACTCCATCTTCTTCCTTTTCGTCACCCACGCATCATCGTCGGAGTCAGAGTCACTGCCCAAATTCATAGGAGGTCGGGGCGGCCGCAGCGGCTGCCATTTGTCCTTGCCGGTTTCCTCGTCGTCACTGTCGTCAGCACCGCCGCTCCTCTTCGCTACTGCCGCTGGCCCCTGCTTCTGTCTCCACTTCCCCTGGTACTTTTCCGTTTCGGTAATGCACGAGGTGTGCGTCTTAATCGTATGTAGGTCAAACACGTTCATGCAATCCACACAAGTGAAGGAGGCGCCCCCACATTGCATGGCATGGCCATTGACCTTCGGCTTCTTCACCACATCCTGACAGGCGTTGCAGGTGAAGGACACCATTCGTCGCACCAATCCAACGCAGCCGGTTCCTTCGACTTCCTTCCAGGCGCAAAAGACGTGTGTGCGAATCGGTAAAAAGAAAAAAAAGTTATGTATGCATGTGCGTGGGTCTCTTAGACAGGGCCGCATTAAGAGCGCCGGAATCACATCACCCTCACCCCCACGGCTACATGTGTTTCACTGACTATTAATCAAAAGCGGCTTGTATTCCTGTGTGTCTTCAATTGCTCTTATTTTTTTTTTTAATGTGAGCTACCCGCCACTTATTGTATTCAACTTCCCTGGAGTATTTTATGCACCACAAAAGAAGTCCGCCACCACACACAGCTGCAAGAAAAGCGAGAGGACCACACCGTACTTCGTTTGTGAGGAGAAAAAAGAGATGGGGCGCAGTGCGCACTCCATACATATTCCGGAAAAATTGCACACGCGCGTACACGCACACATCCGTCCTAAAAGAAGTGTACAGTTTTCTTTGCTGCTTGGGATTCTTTCGACCGCTTCACCTCATCTGCCTCAAGGTTCTTGTAAGCCTCCTTCAGCTCCCGCTTCTTGCCACGTCGCTCACGCTGCACCTGCTTTGCCAGCTGCTGCCGCAACTTCTTTTCCTCCCTTGTCTCCCCCTTGTAGCGCTCAAAGGCGAGTGGCTGCGTGACTAACTCGGGCACCGTCTCCTCGTCCTCCTCAGTTGGTGTTGTTTTTGTTCCTCCTCCTGCTGCTGCTGAGGGGGAGGAGGTGGAGGCCCCGTGTCTCTTTCGTCGTCTTCCTGTGGCTGGCGCCCGGATAACGTTGGGCTGGTTGAAGCACGTTGAATACATCGAGACGACCGTCTCGCAGTCTAGACGATTTGCCTTATCACGCACCTCCCTTAACACGTAGGCCTCGTCGTCCTCCGCCTCCGTCTCCCCAGGCCACGTCCCTACCTCCCCCTCCTCACCCGCGGAGTTCTCCACTGGGCCATCTGGCTTTTGCCACTGCATGCGATGAAGGGCGGCCTGTCGAATTTCCTCCGTCTCTCTTTGGAACTCTTCCATAAAACGTGTCTGCCTGTCCGGCAAAACGGTTGTGGTGTACAACTCCCCACTGGGCCCCATCTCTGTGCCGGCGGAGAGAACCATGTTTTTTAGCTGATGTATTAATCCCTTATTTCGCCGCGGCTCGGCGGTACCGTAGTCGACACCGGCTCTGTCCACCACAAACTCCTCAAGTGCGCGCAGGTACTGATCCACCTCGAGAGCCCCATGGGCACGAGGATCGTCCGTGTAGGCGTCGTTGAGGCGGGCATCAACGTCAAACTCCCGCATCATCCGCGCAAACTGGCGGTCCACGCCTCTCTTTGTCACATCGTGCTGGACGTAGACGGACTCGTCGTGCCCCGTGACGATCTCAGCACCGCCGTCGCCGTCGGTGTCATCTTCCTCCTCGTCGCCACCGCCATCGCCAAACACCAGCTCGCGAAGGAAGTCGTCTGTGAACTCCACCTCCTCCTGGTCCGCAAACAACTTGTCTTCATCCTCCTCGTCCTCCTCACCGAGGTTGCCGTGGGTGTCGTCCGCATCATCTGAGTCTTGCGCACGAAGAAAGTTGTGTTTGTTCATATACGCGTCCTCCTCCGGCAGCCGGACGGTGCCCCCCTGCGGCACGGACGACGCGAAGGACGTGGTAGTGGTCCACTCCCGCGCCAAGTCACTGACTGTTGCCGACTCATCCTCATCGCTTTCATCCCCACGCTGGCGACGGCGGCGCGTTGCAGTTGACGGCAGGTGTTTGCGCAGTTCCTGCTCCTCCACCATCACGGCGGTGTTCTTCGCACCCTCATGCTCGGCGTCATCGTACGACGGGTGGACAAGCTTGAAGGTCACGCCCTTGGCACGTTTGGGCGGCATCTTGCCCCGCTTGCTCTCCTCGGCTACCGTTCCCTTTCCCTCCTGCGAAGCAGTGCAAATCCCTCTCACCGGGCGCGTAAGACACGCCGCGGCAAACAAACAAAGACGACAACGCGTGAAGGAGAAAAGTAAAATAAAAATCAAAGTGAAGAAGAAATAGCCACCAACACAGCCGCCGCCGCCGCCCCGACAGTAACAACAGCAGCAAAGACGGCGGCACAAATGGGTAAAAAAACCGTCCGTCCCACAATGACGTCTCGCATGTCATTTCGTTGAGTCCAGTACACAAATATATACTGTGGACGCGGACATGAGCGCAGCCGTCGATGAAAAAAGAGGAAAACTGCAGGGAGTTCGGCTTCCCTCTCCCCAACCAATTTGCCTAGCCATCCATCCTGCTCCCCTCACTTCCGCTCGCACGAACAATGCCATAGCAGGAAAATGGCGGCAGCGGTGCAGAAAAAGAAAACAAAGGCGCAAGCGAAATATACAACAGGATATCGCATACACACAGAGAAACACACACAGAGGAAGAAAACTATCGCCTTTAGCTCAACAATAAGAGAAAACAAAGCACGTCGCAACGCAATAGACGCGGCGTTAGTGTTTTGGCAATGTAAATATAAATGTGTATGCTCCTAGTACGCTCCCTACACGGGCGTGGAGTGCACACAAACAGGCGTTCAAAAACACTGACCAACGATGATTCACGCCGTTCCACCCCCAACCCCCTTCACTGGCCGCGTCGTGTGCTACTGAAGTTGTGTACCGCATTACATAAAATTGCGATTACGCTCTGCAAGCCAACAAAAAGAATTCCCCATTACAAGCGGAGCACACACACACACACACACACACACACACACACACAGCTCCTAGTGTACTTCAAAGGGTGCCGTAGGTCACAACTTTCCCCCTTCTCTCGCCTGGAGACGCCAATACACGGCAGCCACTTACCTCCACTGACACCCAGTCAACCATGATGGAGCTAAACAAAAAGGACGGTGTGAAGGGCATGCACGCACGCACAAGATGGAACGAAGACGAAAAAAGAAGAATAAAAATATTGTCTAAAACGGGGCATTCTAAAAATGTAGGCGCCGATACGTAACGCAGCAAAAGCAGAGCAAAAAAAAAAGATTCATAAAATTAATTACCGCCCCTCGCAGTCCAACCAACAATGCACAATACATCACATCACATGTCCTGCTACATCCTACAGTCCCTCCCCTTCCCTCCACCTCGCTATGTCGGCGCCTGTATGTATGCACACCGTAAATCCGCCCTGCACATTTGCTCCGGACGCATCAACTCTCTGTTCTTGTCGTTGTTGTGTGTGTTTTGCGTGTCGTTCTGCACGCACTTCGTTACTGGTTACCCTCTCCCTCTCGCACCCCACCCCCGCAGCCCCGCGCTTTGCACAGAATGCACCCACAAATACACGGATCTCGCTTGTCCGCCTTTACGCGCGTACACGTTACTCCCACTCGCCCTCTCGTCAGTCTCCTCTCCGCACACACACACACACCACATGCTGCCAGCAAGCATCAATCATGCGGTTGAGTAACTCTTTTCCAACCTAAAAAAAGAAAAATAATAATAATAATAAAATGCATTCGACGCCACTTAACATTGCTCTGCGTTAACCCCACACCAACTCCCAGCGGCACGGGTGCGGTGCCCCGAGGAGGGCTATCTAAACCCGGCGTCGCTTTGTGGTGAGGTGACCGTCATTGCCGCGCGTTCCGTTGGCAGCGCCGTGTGTCTCTTCCCTAAGAAAAAAGGAAACCCGGAGACACCAAACGTGGAGTTTCCGCCCAGCCCATCCGCCCGCGTTTCAGAGGAGGCTTCGAGCGTGGCTGGGCACAACAGCGCCGTGTACGTGGGAGGCGATGCGAACCCCTCATAATTCACGCATGAAACTGGTAGTCGAGAGGGAACAGTGACAAGCGTGTTGTTCATGGCATGTGGTTTGGCGGGGGTTGCCGCCACACCTCCACTGTAAAACGCAAACGGCACTCCTGTTCCCTGCGGCCAGAGCATCGGCGCCCCCCAGGGATGAGGCGCTTTAGTTCCCATCACTGCACCCGGAACTGAGGCAGGCAACATGAGGCCACCACCAGACGTCATCACAGGAACAAAGGAGCCGGGTGCAACAGCCAGTCCACGTATGCCATCTCCAACTGGAAGGCATCCTTGTGCAGGTGAGCCACTGTAACCTGACTCCTGCCCGGGAGACGTTCTCCCCCCACCACTCCGTAGCTGCCTCTGACCTTTCAAGGCATTGTTAACGTTGTTGCTGCCGGTGCCATGATGGTTGTGCTGCGGGATGTCCTCCGCTAGTTTTACCATCAGCGGAACTTTCCCACAAGTAGGGAAGGGACGGGTGTTGTGAACCGCCTCGGCAGCCTTCACAGCAGCACCAGCCACAAGGTACGTGATGAAGGCGATGTGACGCTCTGAGCGCCTATCGGTAGCAGGTGCAGTGTCTTTATGAATCGAGACAGACTTGATCGGGCCGTAAAGACTGAACATCTCCTCAAGGTCGGTGGTGCTAATATCCAGTGGAATGTTTCGAACAAAGAGTTTGCAAATTTTTTTGCGAGCCTCACCAACGGGGGTGCCATCGTGCTGCTTCCATGCCCACTGGACGATGATCGCTCGTCCATTCACCCGTTTTCCTGACATCGCCTCAATGGCACACATTGCCGCCTTCGTGGTGGTGTACCGCACAAAAGCGGTGCCAAGACTGTTACCCGTATGAATATTGCGCATAACCGCCGCTGAGAGAATCTGCCCATAGGGGGAAAACAACTTCTCCAAGTCTTGCTGCTCCATCTTGTGCGGCAGGTTACTTATAAACAGGTTTGTACGGCTCTGAGTTTCTGAGCGCGGAGCCTGCATCAAAGTGCCGTTGTCGCCGCTTCCCACCCTATCGTAACGGGCGTCGATGTTGTTGTCCTCGCTGGAGACGTCGTTTTCGTCATCGAGGAACAGCTTCTCCGCAAACACGTCGGCGCCAAAAAAGAAATCGGACTCTGACGACGCAGACGCCACGGCCCCCGCCTCGCGCATCGCTGCACTCGCCGAAAGGGGGTTGGAGTCCACCTCATCCATGCTCTCTAGTCGCACGGGAGTACACCCAAGCTGCTGCCGCTGCAGATTCTGCACTTGTAGCCAATGATCTGAAATCAACGCGAACGCAAAGATGCAAAAATATGTAATCCCACGTTAGTGGTGTGTTAGTTACCGTCTCCTCAGCTTCCTACTAGGAAGGAATCTCTGCCTTGCCCCACAAGGAGACTTGATATGTGCTTTTATCTGTGGACCGGGCCCAACTTCAGACCCGACGCTGCCTTTGTTGTCGTTGTTTCCTTTCGGTTAAAATATTTATTTAGCTGCTCAACGTCCTCCTTCTTCACGCAACGCAACTCCGCCTCTCCGCCCGCCCAACCTTTAATAGTATTAGCTCAAAAAACAACGCCAGTACTCCCCTGGTGCCTGCTGCTGCTGTTGTTGCTTGTGTGTGTGCGTGTCGTGCGCGCGAGGGGCGGTGAGGGGACGGGTTCTCGGGCGCCCCGACAAAGCACCAGCGCCAGAAAAGAAAAAGGAAAAAAGGGGGTGAAAAAAAACTGGCGGAAACAAC